CAATGTAGAAAACTATGGTCCCAACTTAGCTCTATCTCATGGCTCTAACTTACATTGTAGAAAACTATGGTCCCAACTTAGCTCTATCTTAATACCCTAAATTAGCAGCCCGGGATCCTTACTTAACTTTATCTTAAAGCCCTTACGTAATAACCTTGGCCTTGACGTAGCTCTATCTTTCGGCCCTAATCAAATAACCTAGGGTCCTAACCATGCTTTGTCTTGGGGTTGTAATTTAATAATCTGGATTCTAAATCTAGCTGTGTCTCGGACTCTAATTCAATAACCTAGGGTCCTAGGGCCAAAATATAGTAACCAACGTCCTTACTTAGCTCTTATTTAAGGCCCTAACTTACAATGTAGTGTCTTAGGGTCCTAACTTAGCTCTATCCTAGATCCCTAACTTAGGTCCCTAACTGTCGTGTGGCTTGAAAAATGTCGACACAGCAGTAAGAACCAATCATTCGACCTGATGCGAAATTAATATACCTGTTCACTGCAAATAAATAAATGATACTGAAACTTTAATTAGAATAATTTATAACAATATTTGTCCGTCCTGCACTGATTTTCTAAACGGACATGTGTTAGTTTTGTATTCCTGGAAATTGATATTCCACAATTATCGGTAGGTCGATATTCTCCTTCTTAAATCGTCCTATAATACAGGGTTTTCATCATGCAATTTAAATAGTATGTAAAACTACAATAGCCGAATATACTTGTCCAGAATATAACAACCTAAACAGTCTGGTAAATCAATGTTAATGAACGAATTCAATTAGCTTCATGTTTGAGCACATATAGTTCACATAGAATGTGATTTTCTATAAATTATATCTATGTTTTTTTAGCTTGTACGGTATATGATATAAAGTGTCTTGTAAGCCTTAATGGACTGGGTGACAATTTTACTAAAAGTTGTGCATGTACTTGTTAGAATATTTTGATACCTGTATTACATTTTTATGTAAAAATTGACAAGTGACACTTTCAATGATATTTATTGAATCGAACTGTATAATTGTAAATACTGTATATATATATGTGTGTGTGTGTGGTGTGTGTGTGTGTGTGTGTGTGTGTGTGTGTGTGGGTGTGTGTGTGTGTGTGTGTGTGTGCGCGCGCGCGTGTGTGTTTTAAACCGTTTAGTAAACTGGAACTTCGTGAAAACTGAACAACTATTCACGTAGAAAGAACAGAGAGAACGAATATGACGGCGCCATCATTTTTGATTTCTGTTCCCTTACTAGCCTAATGATGGTCTATAGCAGAAATTTACATATCTAAGTGAAAACTGTTATAAGCAGAGGATTAATATTTTACTAGGAAGCACGTTAAACATCTAGACTGGAATTAATTATGAACACCATCTGTCGAAAGGTAAATACGATAGGATCGATGATTTACCAAACTGTTTAATTCGTCCATTCAATTTGTCAAGTTTACACTAACGATATATTTATTAATACCATTGATCACAAATAATGTTTTAACAGACCTGGCCCCACTTGTATAAAATCTCAATTTCAGATTTTCTCAAGCCCAGATTTTCCTCAGCTAATATCTCCTTGAAAATATCTTGTATGAAAATTCCTCAAGGAATTTCAGGACATCCTAGCCGATGACTTCCTCCTGTTCCTTGAGAAAATTTTATACAAGCCGTTTTTGAGGAGATATCAGCTGAGGAAAATCTCGACTTGAGGAAATCTCAAGTTGAGATGTTTTATACAAGTGGGGCCTGATACTGACTACAGGGTCAGTAAAACTACTTTGCCAGTTGGTGGTAGAATCACACCATATAATGAAGATTTACAGTTGTAGCAAAGTAAAATAAGAAATAAATTATTGGAACCCGAATTTCACCACAGAATATACATTGTAATGTCATTCTGCAGAATGCAATGTTCTGATGTCATTCTGCCGAATGTAACGTTCTAACTTTCTGTAACAGAGTTTAGTTTTGGTGTTATTTTGCTTATTTTACATGTAACAAAAAATCCGAGCATTTGTAGTTGTTTGTTGTCGGATAATAAACTATATTGTAAGACTGAAGTTTTTTGAGCTATCGCCAGAAATCATTATTTAAGAATTATTATTTAAATGCTACTCTTTCATCAAAACATGATTTCAAAACACAATTGTTTGTTGCCTTAAGCTTTGGTCAATATAAAAGCATGATTGACAGCCTTTAAGATAAAAGTGATAGTTACCCTTAATCAAGATCTGCTAGACAATTACATTTCTTTTGTTTATGATATTGACGTGTTCATTTTTCCTTTTACGAAAGTGACATTCTGCAGCTATGAATATTTCAGTCAGCTTTTAGTATTATTTTCTAGTTTCCTATTTCTACTGCGACTGAGCATTTCAATTACTTCCGGTTGCAAAAATGATTTGCCCGCCAATATTTTTAACCCAATGCTGTTAAATATTACAACAATGAATTCTCCGTTGGTGACCGTAGTAATGCGTTATCTACAAAGCTATTTTCAAATTAAAGGTTTGTCTAATTTTATACAACTAATACGGTGTCTGATATTTTTCCATAAATGAAACATGACCACATTTGGTTGAATCTTCGCTGGCCATTAACAAGTCGTAGTTATAATTTTCACCACAGTTTGATTTCAAGACGTTGTGACATAAATTTAGTCATAATTTTACTGTTTGACACCACTGAAAATATATAGTATTTGGTTTCCATGAAAGGTCTTCTGACCTAAAAGTAAGGGTATACCACACTGTAATTCAAGACGTAGCATGCCATTCCCGCAATTTCCTACGAAGTTGATTATTATCTGCTTTAGCAGGTCGTTATTTTTTTCAGAATCTGATATATCAAAAAGTCAGTGGTATAGTATGCAAATAAGTGACTCGATCTTTATAGTAAAATGTAATCCTATTCAAGGTACCCTTGTAAGATCAATACGTGTGCTTAAAAATAACAAGAGAATGCATTCCTTCAATGTACCTATTTTATTTTTACTAGCCCTTGTTTTAGTTATCCATTGTGTTTTTCCTACCTGGAAATGTCACGAGCTTGGAAGACTATTCTAATTCTGTGGTAATTTGAAAAAATAGTTCATAATGGAAACAACCTAGTAATAGTGTTATATCACCGTGAAAAGTGAGCTGACTGGTACCATTCGCATGGCTAAATTTATTAGAAATTCTACATGGATAGCGTGAATGTGTGTGTTTTATATTTCTGTGTCATATATATACTAATATAGAGGAACCCTACATCATTACAATGGTATGTTTATTATATTCATATTATTTTATACCCCTCTATGACGTGTACATTATATTGCGGTATAAGGACAGATTAATTATATTCTCATTACTTGTGTCAAATCCTTTTTATCTTTTGGAAATGAAATATTTAAACTGGAAAAAGGAGAAGTCCTTTGGGTAAAACTAAGATAGCGGAGAATGTCCTAATTGCATTTTGTTAATGCATAACAATCTCATATAATCCATGTACATGTATATTGAATTGATAATAACACATAAACATCCTTATAAGTCCCATATTACTGACCAGAGGTGGTGACAAAGCTTATAGGACTTGCTCTCATCAAATGTTTGTGGACATTTGCATGTTTTTGCAAAAAGGTTTACATTTACAATGTACTTTCCCTATAGTATTGGACCCTGCCCCTCTGACTATTGATGGGTGGACGGATGGATGATTGACAGTATACCCTGGGACCAGATACATATACTGTTACAACAGAAAATCTATTTGTAGGTGTTCCGATTGTAGCTGCATATGTCGGCGCCATATTGGATACTGAATCAAAGCGTCGAGCCTCCTTTCCCTGCGTATATACTACGTTGATGAAGGGAGATTTTGTTAAGATTGGGTGGAAACAACTAACTGAAATAAAGTTTTACAGATGTGTTATTTACTTTAAGTAAATAGTGAACGACGGATTGTGACCACATCTCGTGTTACCTTTGTGTTAAACTCCCAGCGTGCAGACAAGGCTATGGAACACTTCATCAAGAAAATAATATTAATAGGTATATTGTATTTGTTTGGCATAGCATGGATATCAAGGTACGTATATATATGTAAATATATCAATATGCCATGATATGCAGTTCACTGGATCTATTTACATGTTTCTCGTAGAATTATACGATGTATTTTAATTTAAACTTTATTATACATATTTTGTCCGTTTTAGTGACATGCCATTCGTACCAAAATAATCGTTTTTAATGTTTGATATTATAAAATTGATTTGAATATATACTGAAAATTTTAAAATACACATAGGTTAGATTTATCAAGATCTATTTACCAATTAATACGTGTTAGTCATTTTAGTATAAAACAAAACAATTATGCCATTTGTAGCCTTTGACAGGTATTTTTCTATTATTCTAGACAGTTGTTTCTTGTGTTGAACTTCAAATATGAATGCTATTAGCATATTAGCAAAGTAATAACATATAATGTTTGGTTTAGTTGCGCGAGTCCTGAAACTTTGAAGCAGAACCCTCTTACAATATACAAGTGTACTATATGTCCCAACTGATGAATACAAATTAATTATTGTAAGCGAAATAAGCTTGCCTTTACGAATTTTCATGGTGAAATTTATACGAGAAGAAGAAAGCGTGACTGGTCCCTGTTTTCAGATTTTTTTTTTTTTTTACATAAATCGGAAATAATGGTCTTTATCGATGAAAAGTTAAAAGTAAAGGTTACATGTATATACTAGAAGGCGGATGCAGTTGGATTATTCTTTCAAGAAATTAGCGTGAAACTACTTCTTGTTTACAGGCATTACCAGGTAGCACGAGTCACCGAACCAGACCACGTGAAACTGGTCGCCTTTGTTGATAACACAGTCACATCTCCTCTAGACAACTTTAATTATTACTTGCAAATACGTAATGTTACAAATATACTTCAAACAGCAAATGAAAAATTATCGGTTCTTAGCATCACCCAGAACCGAACTTCGTTTTATTTAGGAGAGATGATATCTGTACGTATTGACTTGTACAACGGCTATGGTGAACGCTTACATACAGATGGGGATCTTCTTCGTATATGGATGACGGACACGTCCAATAACGCCAATGTTAACGGCTACGTCACCGCCATCGGTAATGGTTCCTACATAGGTCAAGTGATGGCTGTGTGGAAGGGAAAATCAGTGATTAAAATATCCATTGCTAATACAAAGGAACAAATAGGCCTGGTGTTACAGTATGTAGAGAAATACGGACTACTTCGAAATATAGAAGCCACTTTTAGATCGGCGGATACGAACATATCAGAGAACACACAATGTAGTGTTAAACCAGTTTACGGAGAGATATGTAACTTTACAGAGGAGAACCATGGTCTGCATTGGTACTGCGGTCGCCCACGAGACACACAACTGACATGTCGAGATTGGAGGGCAACGACTGGCACCAATTGTAATAGCCTGAGCCCTATTGCTCTCAAACTATCAAGGTGATTATTTTGACCGCCAAATTAATATCAAAGGATTGAATGGAAATGAACAAATTTAATTTCCTATATGTGTCTATTGCTTGCTTCCAGAAATTTGCCTAATCAATCAATCCGTGACTTCCATAAAGATAAGGTCGTCATTCGCAAATGCGAAAGTTTCTTATTGATAAGGCAGTATAACAATCTGCTTTTATGCCTCGTCCACTACTATATCAATGTCTTCAACCAGATTTGGTATGAAACATCATTTGGAATGGGGAGTTCTTTCTTAAATTCAGGAAGTTGATTTGTCTGTAGGGATGAGGTCCAAAAAGGGTAGCTAGAAAATACTATGCTTCAAACTGTTACTCTTTTTATGCTTGAATGAATTTCAGTCAAATTTGACCTGAAATATTGCTGCATGTGAATTATCGTTTCTTAAATTAAGAAGTTGATTTGACTCCTTTGGATCTGGGGCGGGCCCCAAATGGGAAAGTTAGGCAATGATTTTGCTTCAAAACGCTACTCTTCCTTAATACTTAAGTGGAATTAAACCAACTGTGGTATGCAATATCACCGTGAGGATTAATCAGATTTGCCAGACAACCATCTGCAAATTCTGTGGTTTGTCCATCCATCTATGGATTGCCAGATGACCGCTAAGGGCCATGACCCTCTTGTTTGAAAGAATCTACTTGCTGATTTTCATCAAAACAAGATCTTCTAACTTCTATATGTTTTTTTTCAGATTTCACAAGAATATGATTCTGAATGACCTGCCGGCAATCAGAGTGATAGGAGGTAGGCTTTTAAATACTTCAATCAAAGTTGGTATTTTTAAACCATTTCAAACGAACGGTTAGTATGTGTGTTTCTTCTGAACCATACCACTATTCATATGTATAAAAAGCGGCATACTAGGTACCTTTAGTTCAACAACAAGTATACCCTGTTAGTTCAGTTTCAGACTCGAATCTACAAATAATGATGCACATTTTCTTTACTCGAGAAATGTTCCGCACTTTCGAACCATAATTTTCTCACTGTATTGCCACATGCACATTCCTAGCCATTCTCGGCCCCATTGGTCGTAAAGCTTATCGCTAAACCATCTGACAGAGTGAAACGAAAGTCAGTAACTCTGGGAGATCAGAATGATTTTCAGCTGGAGAGCCGGTAGCTCCGATAGTGAAACTTGTCAATCTGCACTATACATGTGTAAGTGCATGTATTCCGGAAAGTATTGGCGTGTGGCGTCTGTACTAACGACAAACTTGACTTGATTACATAATCTATTATGACAGTATTTATATAAAAGTGAAATTCTAAAACATTAATTTGAATGTTAATTTCCATCGCTGTTTACGTTGAGGGTGTCGTTAAGGAAACGGATGACGCTTACCTTTTCGGGGCACTTGGCCCTATTCTCCTTGTTCATTAAGTACCTTTTCTAGGATGTTTGTGTATTGTTTATATCCCTGGACCGAAAGATCTGGGACGTTTTGATTTTGTGCTGCATGTCTGTTTGTTTGTTTGTCTGTTGTCAACTTTAACCTTGTCCATAACTTTTGCACCTTAAGAGGCAGGGCTTTCATTTTTGACCAATATATTTGTTCGTTTTTTTTATTATAGTTTCTTCGAATTTGAGTTTGAAATACGATTCTGTTGTCAAGTCGGTTTTGTCTTCTTGTCATAAATACGTCTATCGCATTGTTTTTTTGTTTTTGTTTCTGTGAACTTTGTTACAAATGTTTATTACATATGTCTTTGTACAATATTTTTATACAGATTTTTTTTTTTGCAAATTGTCAAGTTTTACTAGAAATCATTCGATATAACAGTCAATGTGATATCAGTAAGTAGCTTCCCGAATTGTATTGAGCTAGCTGTATTCCTTTCAGATGACATGTTTGTACAATCCGATAAGTCTCCGTGCCACAAGCGACCGAAGAAGGACACATGGGTGGAGGCTTCCCCTTCTGGATTCTACTATAACAGCCGCTGGCGCGCTTTGGGATGCTCAAACAGACTGGATCACCCCCTTTCTACATCGTATGTTAGCTGTCTCAGTGGTTACCATGTGTTACTGATTGGAGATTCTAATCTCCGTTCATGGTTTAAACACATTAAAACTATGCTTAATATGACCATAACGACGAGACATTTGAATCGAAAATGGTATACGACATACGAAGCAGAAAATGTAAAGCTTAATACGTCTCTGGCTTTAGCTGTACACGCTAATCCGTTTTACGGCGGTTCCACAGCTCTACCGAAATCTTCCATCCAATCAGTGGCTTGGCAAATAGACCGAGTGCGCACGACAAAGAATATTGCTATCGTGATTCACATGTATCTGCATTTGGCTAGGACCGTTTCAGAAGAGTATCGGGCACATGTTAAAGAAGCTAAAAGAGGCATTGACAGGCTTTTAAAACGTGCACCCAATGCCGCCGTTTTTGTCAAAGGACCTCACGCCGTCACAGCACCGGCTTTCCAAGCACCTGTAGATTATATCAGACAGGTTCAGGAACAAATACTTCATGAGGAATTCAAAGATATCATTGATAAGGTAGTGTTTTTGAATCAATGGGACATGACAGCTGGAAGTGCAAGTGTACCTATCCATCCAAATAAGGAAATTTTGTGTAGCATGGTTGATCTTTTTATATCTTATTTGTGCAATTAGAGGTATTGATCATTTGTAAAAATTCTAATAAACTTTCAATTTTATCGATGAAAAATGTCCAAAGCCATTAATCAGAAAATAAGAAGCCGTCCCATAGACTGCTCACATATAACAACAAAGGTTGATTTGTTGCTCCAAGACATTACATCCAAACTTGTAGCTGAAACTGATGTCTTGGGGACGTGTGAGAAGTATTCGATGGGCAAAACATAATCAAATTCTGACACTGACAATCACTTGTATTGGTTAAGCATTACTGTACTCATCTCGTAATAGTGTAGCTATGAAAATGACGTCAGTTCTACATGTAGATTTTAGTTAGTTGCAGGAGCTGCACATAATAAATTAAAACCACACAGTCTCTCTTAAAGCATATTCATCCATGTGTCCTATAAAAATTATATCATACAAGCATGAAATTATTTATGATTTAATGCGTCACAGCGCAGTGGTCTGAAGTTATCATCAATGAGCATTTGTTAATGTAGAAAGTGGTAGTATACAACATTGAGGTTACAGGACGTAATTATGATACTGAGACCATCCTTCTGGATATTTTCATAGTCAAATGCGTTTATTTTATGTACAAATACCGAGATAGTTTTCCAAAAATATCTTTTAATTGAATAGTCAAATTTGCATGGGTTTCTTATCGTGATTAGCAATATAACCGTTTATATATACATACAGTTTAAAAAGTTCAATAAAAAATAATAAAACTTGTAATGGTTTCGTCTTACTTCTTACTTCAGTGTTTAGCCTATCATTATCCGTGGGTCCGTCCGTAAACAACTTTTGTTATCGCTATTTCTTGAGAAATACTGGATGGATCTCTTCCAAAAACCTATGTAGGTTTCCCTTTGTCCATAGTTGTGCCCATTTGATTTTGGGACTTTTCAGAAAAACAAAATGGCCGATGGGTGGCCATCAAAGAATCGTATCTGAAAGGTTTGTTATCGCTATTTTTGGAGAAATACTGCATAGATGTTTCTCAGATTTCATGTATATGTTTCTCTTGGTCCTTAGTTATGCCTGTTAGATTTTGGGATTGATAAAAAAATGAAATTGCCAACAGGCAGCCATCTTGGATTTCGCGGAGTAAACGTTTGTTTTCCTATTTCTAAAGAAGTACTGAATAAATCCCTAGGTCCCTAGTTTTGGTTTTGGGTCTGATGAAAAACGACAAAATGACCGACAGGTGGCCATCTTGAATTTCGCCAAGTTAAGATTGTTATTGCTATTTCTTGATAAATACAGCATAAGTCTTTCTGAAATTTCATCGTTCGGTTTCCCTTTGTCCCTAGTTGTGCCTATTTGATTTAGGGAATGATCAGAAAAACAAAATGACTGACATGTGGCCATCTTGGATTTTCACTTTGAAATATTGTTATCACTATTTCTAGAGAATTAATGCATTAATGCATTGCACCGTTGCAAGGCTACTGGTATCCCCATGGGCAAAAACTATGTGCCCCTCTCCTGTTCTAGGCTAATTGTATATGTTCTCATGTGTATACAAGAATTGAGTTTACCAGAGATCTTATCAGATAAAAGTTGCAAAGATCTTACCAATACTTCAATTCTGCATTCAGATACATTGGGGATGTGAAGTATTTGAATCACAACTATTTGACCATGTCCATGTATAATACTCATTGTACTCCAAGATCTTGAAATCGTTTAACGCAACATCAGGACTTATGAAGTGTCAAGTGGAAGCTTAATACTAAATTGTGTGATAGGGTGATCATTTCACTTTCTCTGTGCTAATTTTTGCTCTTCCAACATATGGTGTTTATATGCTGCGATTGAATCTAGATTTCCGTACCTTGCAGATTCAGTATCAATTTGTAATTCATTTGAGCAGACCTAGTTGTAAAATGATGAGAAATTTAAAGATCACTCCTTTGCTACCTACACATACCATCATAATTCATTTTTGTGTGGGTTGGTTGTTTTACACACAACATACAGAACACAACCCAACAAAAAAACATTGTGAGCAGTACCTCTTTGGGTGTCTAAAATAATTCTTTTGTTGGATACATTGCCTTATGAATAGCCAGGGTCATTTTGAGGCAGAGTTTCCTTAGCTGGTGGCTAACTTACTGAGTAACATAATGGAGGTCCGTCATTTGGACATAACTATGTCAGCACTGACTGGTCTGTTTCTCATCTTTCTGAGAAACACAAATTACCACAGGTAGTGAGATTGAACAATGCTTTATCTGCGGTTACATCGCCAATACTCTGAGATTGACCTGTCATGGCCTCCCTATCCTCTAACCTCCATCCTTACATTGAAGAGAAAATCTGTATAGACGTTTTACATCATAGAACTGATAAGCAAACTGATACATCTGTTGTTTTTAAAACTTTTAATATTGAATTCTAGACATTTTATATTTGTTTAAACATATCATCAGCCAGTGTTATCAATATGATCAGTGATAATACATTAGAATGAATCCCTACACCCATATATACTTAAACACACAACATTTACTGATGAAATCAGATACACACAATCCCTTTGACTGATGACATTAACAATATTATGGTACGCAAACACATACAGCTCTACTGTACACTCTGTCTCTCAGGTACTTGAAAAAATACCTTGTGTATCTAAAAATGTTAAAAAATACCTTGTGTACCTAAAAATGTTAAAAAAAATATTTTGTGTACCTAAAAAGTTCAAAAAGGCTTAAAGACAAACTCTACAACAGGTAATAAATTAAGGCATCCTATGTGACCAATATTTATAATACCAACTTTTGATTGATAGGTTTGGTTTGAAGATTTAGGCACATAAACACTGTAACACATGGTTGTGATAATGGACAGGACTATAAAACATGTATCAGAGGTAACATCAATGTGATTAAGGAATGTTACTTGATTTCTATAGTAATAACAGAGGTATAAATACCACAAAAAAAAAAAAAAAAAAAATGTGTCATCATTTATGTTGATTTACTTGTCAAATTGTGAATTCATTGCATTCCTATAAACTATATATCTGACTTACTACCTATTGACAAGACCATGTACTGTATACAGATATGATTTCTGACCTGGTATGTTACAGTCAATGTCATTCACCAGGGTCCACTTACACAATTCTAGTAGTCATAAAGACAAATACACATAGATACAGAAATCAGAGTTAAATTTACACTGAAATAATAAAAATTGCACTGGAGGTTGATTGATCCATCTAGAACACAAGATCAGAAATAAGTGGTAGATAACAACAGTAGTGAGGCAATGGTACTTTTCTGGTGAGTATTAAATGTAATACTTGTAATATAGATGACTTGGTAATTACATGATGCATAATGATTTTCCTATATCGTCACATGATCAACAAAATCTGGAGAGTGTAATCCTGTCCTAACAAACAGTAAACTTGAGGAGGATTTCTTTACACAACTAAAGTTTACATCCAGCTACTGTTCAAGTTACTTTGGGCAGGTAAAGGAGCTTGCACCTTGTAGACATTGGAACAGTGACATGGACTTACAGTTTGAATCACTCATTCATCAAATTACATATACTGGAGTTTTTTCTCCATATCAGAAAAGTTAAATAGTTACAGGAACAATTCAGCCTGTCTCATGTGATGGAAAAAAACTGATTGTCAACCCTCAAGTACAGGATTGACGGTTTCAGTGAAGGACTGAAAGAAGAATACTTCATGAACTAAGGGTTCAAGGTCATTTAACTCTATCCTGTAGTAGTCAATGACATAGGGGTACACTATATCACAGTCCTTGACCTAAAAGTTGCTAAAACTCTATACTGAAGTAGTCTACAAGGTGTTCAAAGGTCAAATGAACTTCTATGTAAATTTTATTACTCCTTGAGTAAAGGTTTTTATGGTTAGTGAAGATCTCTATACTGAGGTAATCAATGACACGGGGTTCAAAAGTAACTGAATCTTATATAAAATTTCTTTTTGAGGTAAGCATTCAAAGTTGCTTTTAAACTTTATTCCTTAGTAGTCGATGAAGTTGAGCTCCAAATGTCATTGAATTCATAAGTGTGATAGTCAATGACTTACATGTTAGGGGTTCAAAGGTCATCTATATTCATAGACCTTGAATAAAAGGTTCAGAGTCAATGAATATATACTATAGTAGTCAACACTCTTGGGTTTCAAAGTTAGTGAATTCTTGTAGATTTGACATCAGAAAGGCTCATATTCTTGAATTCTAAGCTCTGGTTACCCTTCAGGGATCAAAATCCCTGAAATCTAAGCTATGCTCATCCTTCAGGGCTTAAATCCTTGAATTCTAAGCTTTAATCATCCATAAGCAAATGGTTCAAAAGCAATGAGGTCTGTAATACAGCACAGTCATTCATCTGGTAGCTCCAAATATACAAAATCTTAAAATATTGATTAGAAGATGCATAAGTCTGACAGATCAAAGCCCACATATATTGATCCTTGTTAAATCAATCTGAACTGCTAGTTAGGCCTCTATCTTCATAAAACAAACTCTTGAAGTCCTAACTTACAGAAAGCTCTCAGTAATTCAATGAAACTTGTGACCTCTACTTCAGATATCACAATTCCTTCACTTCAAAATACTGTATATAGGGCTAAAAAACAGTGTTTTGCTTCAGGACAACTTAGCTATATACCATCCTCTAGAGATGTATCGGTCTTGTAAAAGTGTTTGGTCCAATATTCTTGATCCAAATCAACAGTGACCAGTAGCATTTCTCCATGACTCCATTGGCACCATTTACAGAATGTCAAAGTATAACCCCTAGAAAAGGTACCATGACATGGAAATCTGGTTATTTACTTTTTACATCAATTGTTTTTGACCCCGAACTAGGGTCCATACAACAGGGTCAGTGCTGCCACAATGAGAAGGAAGGGATGGTCGCGCGGCTGTTGCTCTGTGGTAATTCTGGTGTACCTGCCAGCACATCTCCGGTCACAGAGGCCATAGCCTGCAGAAGACACATTTTTCACAAATAAAACATGACAGTTTCTGTAACATTATGAAAGGCTGTTAAAAAGCTAACACTGTTAGGATAGTGTAGTTTATGATAGAATATATAAAACATCAATTTGCATTACACTTCCTACTGTATATTATAGACATCAAATCCATATACCTTGGTATTACTTTCATGTTGATAGCATGCATGTATGCACGATATTAATGTTTCCCTACCATGTTGGAGTCTGTGTAACTTGTTTGTCCTCGGTAAGGCTGAGCTTTCATTACATATGCTGACCCAGGTCGTGAAAAGTGAGCAAAATCAGACTGTTGTATACTATGTATAGATGGGTTAACATTAGCTGGATCTTCAGACACCTGCAATAAAAAGTGAAAACAAACATTTTCAAATTCGTTTAATAGTTACAATAAATTGTTAAACTTTCAAACAGTTTGCATGTACATTGTAGCTATAATACAAGTTTGTACATTGCTACAACAGTACAGGTTTGTAAACTGCAGTAATAATACAAGGGAAAAGGGGCAAGGTAATTATCATCATCTTTAGAAAATTATGAGGAAATTTGCAAACAACTATTATATAATGGACAAGTTTGAGTTTCTGGGTTGTTTGGTCAATATCAAGATCACTGTTATCAATATTATAAAAATAATTGTCAGCAATCTAACAGCTTCCATGAGGGATTATCATCAAACTTTGATGCAATAAAATGTGTAACAGCCTCCTGGGGCTGGTAGAGGTCATGTTTTGCTTTATTGCTTTGTCAATACTCAGGATGCTTGTTCAGTCAATTTAAAACATGACATAATAGTATGGCTACATTTTGCTATACAAACTTACCTTTTTTACAATATCCATTCGAATGAGGTCTCCTTTAGTTGTTCTTTTACATCCAGCAGCTTCAAAGTAATTAAATCATGATTTAAAGAGAAAAAGAAAACAAATTTATCTGAAAGCTTAAATATTTTTATAGAATACTTTAATTTCCAACTGTCCTGATAGAGAACATTACCAGTGAATAAATAGGATAGCAAAAATATTATTTCACACCTGCCAAAACTTTTATTTTAAAAGTGAATGATACCTAAAATACCTCAGTTTAGTGGAACACAATTTATGAACCAATACATAAATATTATATGCAAAATAAACCATTGATAGACAGAAAGATAATCTCACAGACTGTTCACAGTGACAAATGCAGTGTATAGAGCCTGCTCTAGTCGTACAGATAAGGAATATTAATCAACATACTTGCAACTGTATCAGTAGAGAACAATAGCTTCATGAAGGATAACTGTTCTAAATCTTACCTGCAAAAAATGGCCAAATTGCATCCAGTGCTGAAGCAAAGTCAACAGCTGTCCTAGAATGAAAAGAAAACAACATTTCCTTGACTGAATCATTGCTTAAGATAAAAATTCCCTTACAAGTTTTATATATAACAAGAAAACCATACAATTAAAAAGATCAAATCAACAAGGTATATATATATATATAATAGGTTTGTTGTTTGATACTAGAATATAAACAGAGAATTTCTGCTCAGACTAAGTTAAATGACGAAAATAAGAAAACAACTTGATAAAATACTACAACAGCAATTTATATATATATACAAATGCAAGTTATTAAGCATCGTGAAGAATCAGAAATGAAATGCTAACGCTTAATGTAACATATTACTTGAAGTTATTTGATGTATATATCCACATATACAGTAATTTAACCTGTAATTTTAACCAGTAATTTTTCTGACATTTCCACCAACATGAAGGGGTCATGATGGCTCAGTCACTTACAGCTTTGGCCCACGTAACTTCAGGTGAAGACCCAAGTTATGTGGTTTGACACTCCCTAACCGCTTATGTTTTTCAGGAAGCTGAGAAACAGACTTGTTAGTACTGATGTGGTTTTGTTTTTGGGCAAGACATTGTCTTTTGCTCTGAATGGCATGCAACAGGCCTCTAAGTGATATAGCCCCAAGCTGCTACAAGGAGGCTCAGGCTCAAATTGTCCCCGGCTTTTCACGGGGCAATAAACCCAGCAAATAACCATAGTAACATTCATACCAATTACATTTCAGTTGTCTGGCATATATGTACTAATATTTTTACACAATCTAAAAAGCTCTGCTCTGTACTGAAATTCTTGAGTAACATTCTGCTTACCTCCCTTGATTGTCTTTCAAATAGAGGTCAGGTTTATAATCCATTAATTTCATGATGACCTTTCCATGACCTTGGAAGGCAGCACAATGTAAAGCTGTCCAAAAGGTGTTGTTGTTACATACATTTATATCTGCTCTGAAACAAAAATACATTGATAGTTTTATAATAGAGAAATGCAAAATTGTAAGTAGGAATTATTTGATTGAAAACCAACTAATACAGTGACTAGGAAGTACTGCTCTGTAAATACATGTACTATGAGAGATATATTATCACTTGAAAAGTTAAATCACTGGCATTGATAAAAAATTTTATCAAATTGATAAATTCTTATATTTCACTGGCAAAAATGTAATAAAAACATCAACAATTACCCTGAAAAAATACATTAGTATTATGCTGTCAGGATGATATATCAATGATTCCCATTCAATAATCAGTATACAAATGTAAATTAATGATTTCATGTTCTAGAATACAGTTATATACAACAATCAAAATTAATTAATATTAATGATGAATGGTCTGATAGGATCGTGACACTTCATAGTATACTGACCTGGTGTGTGAATCCTTCAATATTTATGAACAATGCAACATCTCATCAGTATATATACATATAGCAACAGGTCATAGTATGTATCAATTAGTTCATAAGTGCATTAGTCCGTAAAGAACATCAGCAAGATATACATATCTAAATGAAAATTCCATATATGGCAATTTCTGATTATGACAGCAACAAAAACAAAATAAAATCAACAACATCAACATTGTTCATACTGATTCTATATAGCTCTAATGTACTGAAAAATCACCACCTCTCTTTGAATAACAGAAAACAAGAGACAATTGAGTTTGATAGTGATCATTATGTATAAAACATTGTGCCCTGTATCATAATGATAGCCATATATACCTGCACTCAAGCAGAACTTCCACGATTTCTGCATATCCCCAGAAAGCAGCTACAGCTAATGGAGTCATTCCATCCTTGGAGCGTTCATTGGGAGAGCAACCTTTTCTTAGTAGTTCCTTTACCAACTGTTATCAAGACAAAACACTCATTTTTGTATGACATACAATGTATTATAAATCAAATTTACAGATTAAATACAAAAAAAAACCGAGAAAAAGCAAAAACACAATCACACGTTGTTCATCTGGATAATTCACTGAGACCAAATCAAAATACATGTATGTTTCTTCACACAGTAAAGTAATCACGAAAGATAGTGTATACGTCCCAAACGGAAACAGAAAAACACAGGATCTCCTTTTTCAGGTACACCCCCTCTCTGATATGAATTTATGTTCCTTTCTCCCAAGGATGCTCAACACTTAAATTTTATCAAAATCCCTTGATTGAAAGTATATTTAAACAAAATGAAGCAAACTCATTTAGTGTAGTTTCATTTATCCTAATTGAATGACCCTGCTTGCCCCTTGGACCGAAAATGTTTGTCTCTAAAACGATAATTTAATGTCAATATTCACATATATTATGTTGTTATTGAACGCTCATAATTTTAGGAAACAATGTTTTAGAGTTTAAGACAGGTAGGTGATGGTAACTTTCCTTTGTAATAAGGGACACGGGCTAACATGAAAGTCAGGTAAGTAAAAAATATACGTCTTCTGACGTCGTGCGTATATTGCCTTTGATAGCTATTTTCATAGTTTAACCTTCTTTCTTATCGAGTTACCTCCCTTCAACAACAGCGTTTCATTTAACATATTTTAAAAACAAAACACGTTCATCACTTCATATATGAACAATTATACATTAATTACATGCACAGTCAAAACCATGCATCGACATCGGTGATTACATAAACGATCGTAAGATATCCATGCTTGTCCACAAAGACCAGCAATCGGATACTGTTAGTAGGCCTACAAGGTAACAAGTGGGTTAAGTTGACAATAGCAACGACTAATATTTGTCTCTCGTGGTGTCTTTTGTGAGTTATTGACAACTTACAATGAAGTCATGAAACCCAATCATTAATTGATACTATAACAAATAGTATCAAAGGCTGAGAACGACGCAAACTTACTGTCAGATCTCCGCTAGCGGCGGCGTTGGCAACACTCATGGAAGCCGCCATATTGTTTACCTGTGATACGTCAGTGTCACGTGACAATAACTTACCATGTGCTTGGCAAGTCAAAATACTATGCTGTCACAAACACATGGTCGCTTTAACTGTCGTGTGCTAAGCAGACGACATTGATGAAGTTGTGTTCAGAATGAATGTGCGTTCATAACCAAAATGGAGTTAAACAATAATATCAGTAAGCCGACAAAACGCTGTGAAAATAATTGGAAAGTGAGATTTAAATATTCTAACATAGCAGTTGTCATCGGCATTCCTGTTGCAGCAGCCATCGTGTGCTACATCAATTCTTTGGAGGGTGACTTTGTTCATGATGATATGTTTGCTATAAAATCGAATCGGGATGCTAGAGGTGAATCTTCCTTTTCTGAGATATTTTATAATGACTTCTGGGGAAAACCTATGAGTGATAAAACCAGCCACAAATCCTACAGACCTATAACAGTATTAACATTCAGGTAAGCTATACCGGTATAATAACCGTATAACACCACTGATACCATCGAGATAAACTTCACTGAACCGCGCGCTTTTGTATGGACTCGTGATTTTTCTTTTTTTTTTTTTTTTCAATTTCATCATCATCATCATATCATCATCATCATCATCATCATCATCATCATCATCATCATTTCTTTTACATCCGCATTATAATTGACATAGAAAAATATATATTAGGCCTAAATTCTAGCCATGTAGTAATAATGTGTCATCTGGTTATAACACACATTATTCTTATGTGATACATATTCCTCAACTACATATTGATGTTATCAAATTGGTATGATTTTGATATATGTGTTCAATATGTTTTCAGCTATGTAAATTTAACAACATCAACTGAACAAGTGCACCATTCTTTGTCACTGAAGTTAGCACATTAAAGTGTATTGTGCCATGAAGAAAGTGTTATGTCACATATTTAGTATTATCTGCCAGCTTTGAACAACTTTTTCAGGAGTTCCATGAACAGAACCTTACAACCTGCAAGTTAAGAAAAAAAAACATTTAACATCTTTTTTGTATCTCATATGGCATTAACATAAATCTTGCATAACAGACATTTTTGTCTGTCTATTACCAACAGTAATGAGAATTTTTATACATTAAGACTATAAATAAAATACAGGTACAAATGTATAATGTTATCCTTAATGTTTATTGTATACATTATATAAGATTGTTTACATTCTGAAAAAAATGCAGTAAATGGATGTTTTAAATGATGTTAGTTGCTGCATGCTGGCTAGCACAGGCCAAAACTGAGAAATACAGGTGTAGTTTGATCTCTCTGTAGGACAGCTTAATGGTCAAAATTGATTGAAAATGACACCCCACTGTGGTAATATGTATCACTAAATCCACATATATACCATTTAAGGTTGTTACTTTTTCATTGAAAATTTTCCTATGATTATTCCTGTGCAACAAACTCGTATATATATATATATTTTTTTTATTGCGTTAGGACATGTCCAAATATGTATAATAACAGTATGTTCTCAGGTCCCTTTGGCTACTGGTACTGGTGCAATAGTTAGATAATTTTTGTTGAGTATTTCTGTGGCCATTTTGTGTAGGTTATTTGCATTGATCACTGCAGATTTACTTTGCATAAGAGTAGGTCTTGAGACTGTGATGGATTTGTCTTTGTATGCATTTTAATCTAATTTTGATATGATTTCTATAATAGCTGCAATATGTTAATTTAGACAATGTATCACAGAATTGTTTAAGTTCAGTGTAGTATGTCTTGATTGCATTTTAACGATAAAAGTAAATATCTAATTTCCTCTATACAACATATTGACTGTGGAGATTATCTCGGGACCTCTTGAACAAACAAGGAAGTACACAAATGTAGTGACAGATTTCAAGTACATGTATAGACATCTCTATATGTTTATGTTTAATTCTAGTCGATACAGTTTGTCTAAGGCAGTAATTCTGTTCAATGTATTAAATCCCTTTAGGAAATGCTTATCTAGCTAGTGAAACCAACATTATGATGAAGGGATACACCTGTCACAGATATAATTAAGATAGTGTTGGTGTTTTTATAACAAATTAGATATTGATATATCTTGTACTTAAAATTGTATCAGTTAATCTTGTCAAAAATAATGTTTAGATACACATGTACACAGATTATATGCTAGCTAATATATGAATCTTATATTTTCCCTCCATTTTTACCCTTTAAGAAATCTTGTCAGTAATAGATTTAGACAAGACAGTATAAAATGGATGGGCTGTCATACATGTTTAAGCCTTGCAACATGTACCTTAGTTTCCTCAATACTGCATTGTGTTTGAGGTGAGGGTGCTAGGCTTGGGCTTCTCCCCTGTGTATTAAGGATGGAGGTCTGAGGGTCTTCTCCCAGGAACAAAGATGCATTTAAATGGCATTACAAGTAACATGTTTCCCATTTCTATTTGGTGTCAATTTCCTGGCATATTTTCAGCACAAATCATGTGGTTCAGAATCATTTCTCTCTTGGCACTGTGGAAGGAGTTGCTTTTTTTGGTGTAATTCAGTTCATTGACTTATTAAGTTGATAATTTTAATACACATTGAGGTAATTTCAGTATCAATTTAAATGTCAATATCATTTTTTTAAATATCCAAGAAAAAACAATCACTCCACAAAATCTCCTCAAAATAAAAATACATGCAATGATATAATGTACTTGAGTTGACTCTTTACAGCAGAAGATGATGCTTCTGCCTTGAATTTGACACTCGTAATATCAACCGCTCTATTTTTGTGGCTGTGGAGTATTGCCAACCAAGGAAGACTCTCTGTTTGATTAAACATGCTTGCCTACAATTGTACTTATACATGACAGTATCATCGTCTGTGTGAATTCCATAAATTTCAGATTGTAAACAACTGTAGATGTACATTGTTTGTAGGCATTTTACTATTTTTCTTGATTGTGAAATGATCATAATTCATAAAAAAAAATGTTAAGAAAAAAATTCCGAAATGAAATTTAACAGGGACTTTTACATATATAGATTGTTTTGTGCCTGTAAAACATCATTATTATTGTTTTATAGCAGTACCCAGGTCTTCCTTTTCTTCAACAAATGCAGATTAATTAACTGTCCATAATAAATTTTCAAAATCCAAGATTTCTGCATTCTTGAAACACAATCTTGTACACACAATATCATCACCTAACATGCAGATGATCCTTGAAGTTGAATTTGGCAGATCCCATTTTTTTAAGATATATATGTATCATGGCTGAAGGTTTGTTTACTATACATGTAGTTAAAGTCCGTATACAAGTTTTGATGTTTCAGCTGTGTTAATGCAATTGTTCACTGAGAGCATAAGCCTTAGATTTTGGAGGTAACCCTTATCCTTTATAGTCCCCCACCACTGACCATATATGGTAATAGGATGTTAAGCAAACATATGTCCATTAAGCATCTGGGATATTTTGATTGGAGAAATATTTTCGAGCTAACAAGTTGTCATGAACGTTTTTTTGCAGTAGAAAAACCAAACTTTAAACATGCCAATTTGACATGCACCTTGGTATACAGGTTCATGTTTACGGTCTGATCATTCCCTTTACAGTGCTCAGATTACATGACTCATGATAATAACAAGGAGTAAGGTTAGCATGTACATTTCAAAGGTGTTAAAACAGTATAGTTATTTCCATATTTGTACCCGTCAGAGAAGCCTGTATGTAACTTGTAATATGTCCTTATCAGTAACCCAACCTGTCTAATATATTACGCTTAACAGCACAAAATCAATGCTCTATTGTGTGACATGAAATTTGTAAATTTTCTAAAGAAGGACATTTTTTAAGGGATACTTTTTAAACGGTTAATCTTATTACAAGTTAGCATTTATTCTCTATATCATAAATACATAATTTTTGTTGGACAAATATAATGTAAATTTTCCAAAGAGGGACTTTTATGTTTTATGTGATACTGTTTAAACGAAAAAGGTTAATCTTATCACAAGTTAACAATAATACCCTATATCATGAATACCTGATTTTTATTGGACAAATACGATGTAAATGCAAACAGCTGAATTAAGAACAAGTGTTATTCAAATTGTGCACAGTGAATATTGATCTACTGTGTAGATGCAACTGTGTATTGTAGATGACCTCATTTAAAGTGTCTCTAATAATTTTACTGAAATACTAATAAAAACATTGGTGAGAATTCCTTATAGGTAAAAAACAATTGTCTTGAATTATACCACTTGTAGTTATAGATACATTGAATAGTTTTTCTTTATCCTTCTGAAACAGAAAAAAAAATATAAACATTTCATCATGGATGATAAAGTTGACATTATTGACCAAATGGTATTTAGCTTTACAAATATTTTACGAAATTACTTGAATTGCAACAAACATTAGTCATCAGTGTAGTTTATTGTTATATGTGTGCCTAACTTCCTATTTTCTAGTGAGTCTTTGTGTTGTTGGTACACCTTAGCTGTCTCAATTGTTACTCTGTATATAGTCTACTGTAAATTGTACCTGATACCAGGATATAATTCAAAGTGACCATTTAATTTACCTCGCCTACATTGCTGTAAGCTATAACGTATAATAGCTTTAAACACTATGGAAACTTCCCAAATTAGTCCAAAATTGTGTTCCTTATCTAAATTAAAATCTTTTGGCATGGCAAACGTATGTGGTATATATTGGACCATGGAAGTTCAGGGAGCATGGTTTACTAAACATATCATTTCTGAAAATAAAAAACTTATATGAGTAGAAAGTTTTCCTTATCTTTAAATATTGATTCCTGCCCAGTTTAATTAAGCACATGCACTTACAATTCTTTTGTGATGAACAGATCAAATGATAATGACATTTTCAACCCACCCACCCACCCCCAAAGAAAGAGAATGATAGACAATGATATATTTTTATCATGGATGCATAACTATTGAAAATATAAACTTGAAATAAGTTACCATCATACTTTAAATCTCTCTTTTATAAATAAAATATCATACAGTACTGCAGGACTTAATTATCCAGGTTACTTTCAGAATATTTATGGAAGTAGTGGATGCCCATTTGTGCCTGATAAATATCAGAAGCTTCACTGGTTATCAGTAAACTGTATAGTGAAGTGGTAAATGTAGCCGTGAAGTGATAACATTTTTTGATAAATTTGTACCCCCAGGACCATTCTTTTGTGCCAAAATGTCAACCATATCAATAGCCCAATATCCCTATACCAGACACTGGGTAGTGCAAAGATAGTTGTATCCATGTAAACAGAAATGAAATGCTTGAATAGGGATTTAACACAAATGGGTATGGTACATGTATGTAAACCAAGCAAGAAGTATACTAACAAGTACCTGTTGCTCTTTCCTGAATAACTTTTAAATGGTACTTAAAATTTAGCCATTTAATTGACTGCAATAAACCATACTTTCAATCACTTTGAATTGTACTTATATGTTTTTTTTTGGCAACAAAATAACAAGATAACTTAAGATAGGGGTTTGAAATTAGAAAGTTCAATATTGGTCCATCTAACAATATAGCAGCTGATGGTTTTACACAAAAGTTTGAAACCTAATTAATAAAATTGAATCATCAAAACTGCTTATGAATAACACCAGGAGAAAACTTTCTTGACATGAACAGGCATTTAATACAGTCTACTTAACTTCAAAAGGAATATTGCCCTTAGGAAAATTGAAATGTAAATCTATGTACAGAATTCCAAGTAACATTATATTTATACAGCTGTAGTATAATATTGATTGCTGCAAATTTCTGTGCAAAATATGATATAGCCTATATATAGAATTCACAAAATATATACCTGTCATAAACGACCATAAAGAGGATCTCACAGGAATCATGATAAATGGAAAGGATTTGAACTCAATTTGTTTAAAGTTCATGTAGTAGGAAAAAATATATTCTGAAAGTTCTTCAAAACATCGCTGAAGAAAACTAATAATTGTTGTCTGCAGAGTGTTGTATGCTTTTATGGACACATTCTCAAACGTTTTTTTGATGATGTGTATGGCCATTATATAAGTGATGGATATGATTAAAACTTTCTGTGTACAATGTACATGTATATTCAAATAATAGATATATTAAAGTACAAGAATAAATGCCTTTAATTCATTAATGTGATGGGTCAACTAGCATGTACACAATAACACATTAATGGTTGTGACATCTTAAAGTAATAATTAAGACTTATTATGAATGAGTATGTATCTGTAGTGTGTATCATCTGTAAAATTCTAGTAAAAACACAAAATTTTTATTTTCAATTGCAAAAATTGTGTTTCTTGAAGTAACATTCATTTGCATGATTATCATAAGGTCAGAACATATATCTATAATATATATTTTACATGTATATCTACCTTTTTAATTTTTGATAATGCATTTCAGTTAAATTTGATTATATGTTTTCACATATTTTCCCGGCTGTTTAAGTTTTGAAAATGTTGACTAATTGGTGTCTCCAATCTATAAAAACAGTTTGTTTATTATAAATATCTATATTTTACGTTCATAAACTTTTTTTTCAGGTGGAATTACTACGCCAGTGATGGTGATCCTTACATCTTCCATATGACAAACATTTTTCTCCATTCCATTATGACGGGACTTCTTGTCTATACGTGTTTGGATATTTTTCTTCTCCACCCTCGAGTTTGTCTAATGGCGGGGATCCTGTTCGCAGTTCATCCCATACATACTGAGGCAGTAAGCAATTGATAGGATGTTATTTAGAAGATATCAACAACTAAAACAAATCCATCCTATAGGACTCTATGTACTGATATCACACTTTAAACTCCCTATGCTTTATATAATTCCTATATGCAAATTGATTTCAGTCAAAATATTTTATAAAAGAATGAGTATACAAAGGCTTTAAAGCAGCTATGAAACCATCTCCTTGATTTCTTTAAGTGTAAAGGGGTTCTGAGTACCTGTCAAGGAAAAGAGTTATCCCAAGTAGTCAGGTAAGCGATTACACATTGACTTTTGTTGCCAGTGAGGGAATCAACCTGTGCTACTTCCTGTGTTGTTGGATCATCCTATGACTTGTTAGATTGTTTAGAGTTGATATGTCCTTCAAATCACTATAGACAATTAGATGTAGCAACAGGACAAAATAGAGGTGTCAGTCCCCTTCTACTGGATATGTGATGAAAATTAAGACTATAGGTTTAGGAAAGCAGTATCATGGGGCAAAGATCAATATAATGAGATTATTTAACAAATCCCTCCATTCTGTATATAATGTCTGAGGTAGGTGCAGTGAATACAAACCCTGCGATGATCATTACCAATTTTGTAGTGACAGTGGCATGATTGTTTAGGAAATTGTTTCTAAAGTACAAAATTGATATGACCTTTCAATAGTTGGTAATGGATATAACATAATTATCAGTAATTAGATCTAATTTTAAACTGATAAACTTTCAAAGTTTCCTGTTGGATTTTGATGAGTTAATAATAAGAGAAAGACTTCTCAGTGACTGTGTGTGTTGTCAATCCGACAGTGATGGTTACGTGTGCTGTCTTTCTGAATTCCAAGTCAGACACGATAGTTGTACCTCTTCAGTCTTAATTGTTATGCTGGTATTCAGATTATCCTGGTTATAAATACCTACGAGAATTAAATCATACTAAAAAAGATAATATAAAAATTAATTTACATAATTAACAAACCTGTTCTGTTTTATTTAATGTATTATAGAATTAAATCTACATAACACTGTGGTCATGAAAAAACTGACAACAGTGTCAGTAGTATAATTAATTAAAAACCTACTTATTTAACTGTTATGTACTTCTTCTGATAAATATGTAATTTTAAAAGTGGATGTGAAACCTTTTATACAAGTTCATTTACACTTTAGGATGACTCTTTTTTACCATAAAAGATCGAAAATCTACATGTACTTCGTTTTAAACGGAGGCTTAGACTCGGTCTAGGTAGTATTGGATTGTGACAGATTTATTGTCCTAGCTGTCTGACTGATACAGCAGCCAAATTAATGAACACACTCCTCTTAATAGTTTGTCTATATGAACCTACTCATCCCCAAACTACTCTATCATCTGTACAATACCTGTTAGAAAATATTGAATGAGTTTGCTGTACAACTGTTAATTTTTGCAAATACATTATATTTAAATTTGTAGGTGAAAGGATATTTAATAGGATGACTGCTGATCAAGATATGAAAATATCAATAAATTTAAAATTATGCTAACTATATGGCACCGTTTTTATGTTCAATATACAGATTATTTCTCCAAATCAGACACTTTAAGAAAAAAGTAAAGTTAAACCCATCATTTAAAATGCATTTTGATATTCACTTTAATGAATGTCAAATATGGTATTACTGAGTGTTGAATGGAAGCCTGATGTTTTGTCACTGTGCACAAATAATGGGGTCCAATAGTAAATAAATTTCCTTTGATTTGTTTCGAATAAAATGTTACTATTAGAATAAATATGCATTGATATCTTTGAATGTAAGTAAATAGTTTGGTAATTATGGTAAGGTATCTCTATTGATTTACAGAAAGGATGTTGTGTAGAAATAATTTGTTAATTATAGTAAATAAATCTGTATTCGCTAAAATGTCATTTAAAGGTTATGTCTACAAAGAAAATTGTTCCAAAGTTCAGTATGAGACAATGAAGTACTAATAGGTTAGGTATTGATTAAAAGTTCAATATAACATGGCTCTGATTTTAGGGTGACATTTAGTTAATGTTTTACTTATCCCTTGAAAAGGCTTATATTTTTTATTCACACATCTGATTTTCTATCGTATACTTGGATTAATGTCACTCTGTTGGCAACTCTTCACTTTATGGAGTTTGGGGATGAGAAGGTTCATATAGGACTTCACTGTAGAAGTAGTGGTTGTTTTGTTTTTTCTCACTTCACGCTGTACACCATTGTTAGATTAATACAATAGACGTAGTCTGTGTGTACTAAGTTTGTGGTCTAAACTGGAAATAAGTATGTATAATTCTACTTTATATATGGTTTAAGAGGACTATCATATAAAAGTACATGTGTACTGACATCTAGAAACCAAACTAAAAAAGTGCTGGAACTGCATTATGTATAGTATTGAACTATTGCAGTTATTATGAGTTATAAATGATTAAACTTGCCCTTAATGAGAATGTGAGCAAATCTACGATGTTTACATCTCATGCTGATTATCAACCATTTTACAGGTTTCTTGAGAGGTCCACTTATATGTTTTAACTACATTTCAGGTTTGCTTGTTGATGAAATATTTCTTAACAAATATCACAATCATATGTGTTTTGCATTGTGTATGTTCCATTTGAAAGCAAATGAAAGTATAAGGAAATTAAAAGCAACATACAAACCCTACGACTGGTCATTGTGGAAACAATTTTTGAACAACTGTTCTTTATGTATTCCAGGTATCAGGAATTGTTGGAAGAGCAGATATCTTGGCTGGGGTTTTCTTTTTGATATCATTGATTTTATATATCAAGTAAGTTATCAACTTAAATTGAAATTACAGAGAAAAAGATGTTGATCAAACATGGTGTTTAATGATCCTCACAAACAATCTGAAATTTATTGTTCTAATTGTTGTAAAAACATTATATCATTTTTTGGTAATGTATATTTTCTGAAACATAATCAACATATATATTCCTCCATCCAGGAACAGTACAGATTCATTAAGCTTTGTACAAATGTTTTCATGACACATCTCATGACTGTTAAAGCCATTATGAAAACAGAAAAAAAACAAGGTCTTTTGAAATGATTTATGATGTAGCACACCTATTTTACAGTGATATCACCATTTTACACCTGGTTGTAAAATGATGAATTCGTTTGATGCTGATGTAAGCAACATCTTTGTATTTAGCTTGAAGTAGTTGAGAATACTTTCAGAAAATGTATAATACATCTAAATGGTGTTTCCTGTCATTAAATTTTGAATAAAGATTTTAACGGTAAGTTTAACTTCAAAGAGATACATGAACAGGGACAACACTTAAAATAGTGGGAATTATAATACCTCGACAAAAGTTCAGGACTGTAATCATTATGTAATAAGGTGACAAAAGTACCACTACACTAACATTTCTCATCAAACGTTTTGTAACAACTAACACCTCTGTCAAAAATTGGCTCCACACAATAAGTGGTGTCTGTAGATTAATTGTATCTTACAACAGATGGTCACTATAGACAGGTAGCCTCTCACAACAGATGGTCTCTTTAGACAAGTAGCATCCTACTTTCAATGGCTTCATTTATAAAGTAGTCCCTCACATCAGATAGTCTCTATATACAGGTAGACTCACACATCAAGTGATATTTATAGATAAGAAGACTCTCGCATCAGATAGTCTCTATATACAGGTAGGCTCTCACAAGTGATATTTATAGATAAGAAGAATCTGACATCAGATTGTCTTTATATACAGGTAGGCTTTCACAACTATGGTTTTTTTTGACAAGCATCCTCTCAAGTATTCTGTCATATGGAATGGCCTTTATAGACAGGTAATACCCTTCAACTGGTAGTACATTTATCGACAAAAGTTTCCTAGATCAGATTGTCCCTGTGGACATGTAGCCTGTCAATACAGGTGGTTTCTCTAGACAGGTAGCCGCTCACAAAAGATTGTCACTATAAACAGGTAACCTCCCACAAAAGATAGTGACAAGTAGCCTCTTACTACAGGTCTTTTACACAGGTAGCCTGTCAGGAGAGGTTACTAAGTCTCTATAGACAAGTGTTAATTCTCACCAAACTCTGTGTGCCATCAAAATTATGAAGTTTTCTCTCCACTGACAAAGAGTACTGTTGGCAGTTAATTTTTGAACACAGCATTAAATTATGATTTACGAACCTCCATAAATATGACATTACACTGTATATGTATGAGGTCTTAGGTCTTTTTTCATCATCGTTGAAAGTAATCAGTTGACACTGTTGATATTTGTTATATCACTGTGTCTAGATATGTATATATTCTTGTCCCAAACCAGTCAGTCATCACACATATACAGTCACAGTATGGATGTGTTGTACAGCAGATATTGTCAGATACACACAGCTTTCTTATGCTGAATGTGTCATGCTAATGATATAGAAAGCCATTAAAATCATGTCTTGTGTAGAAACATCAAAACAGAAAACTAATTTGCTTCCCACTGCACAATGGTGTGATCAGAAATCTGATTGTCATTCACAAACATTTTAATTTGTTTAGGTCATCAACTCTTCCATATGGAGTTGGATTTCGGGGACAAATAATTGCCATGTTTGTGAAACTGGCATAGAAGCGTCTAGATTAATAGTGTTTGCTGTGACAGAAAGATTGGATGTATAAATGAAAAATGATGATTGGTTCATAGAATGTAGAAATATATCATTGGTATGATGCATAAAATCAATGGAAATGTTTTGAACTTGGAAACAAATTTTACACAGATTTGTGGAAGGCCCCTTGCATTATGTCTAAAGCAACTGGGGTAAAGGTATCTGCCTAAAGACACAACTTTGATAGGACTTTTCTGTGATTTCAGCTTCCTGATATATAAAATTCTCCATGGACGGAACTGAATCATACACCTCACATCAAGTCAATGAAGTTACATGAACATATGACATAATGACTGAATGACATTGAGTATTCGTAGCTAAGTCACTCATGGTTATAATTGAACTAAAATGTGATGGCATGGCATCTTTGATCAATTTTTCTTTTCAAACAATATTTTCTAAATCACAAAAAGGACTCGTGTCATGTTATTCGACCAATAATATGCATAGATATAGGGATACCAAATTTGTTCAAATGAATTACTTTGAATCTCTTTAAAGGTCACAGGGGTCAATTATTATACAACTTCTCAATAACCAAGGGGCTGTGGCCCATTATATTGGGCTGTATCATGTTGGGATGAAGGGCTACATTTTGACTTTAAGAAAGATTTCAAATGAATGACATTGGCCCACACCTAAGATAATTGCTGAATAGGTGAGCAATGCAGGCCCGTTAGACCTCTTGTTAAAGAGAATATTATGCTGTTTTTCAAATGTTATTTTCTTAGGTCTTCATGAAATATTCAGTTGAAGTTGGTGAAGGTAAAATAAAGGACATTAAATTTGTAATTTAAAATTAGAAAACAATTGCTTTGTGTTTGTCAGGAGTCTAGACATAAGATGGCAGAAGAGTAGTGTCCTGGTCCCAAAAGTACACAGTAAAAGTTTCCTGTGTGGAAGTCTGGTGTCTGCAGGAGTGGCTATGCTGTGTAAAGAACAAGGCATTACAGTCTTGGGGATGGTTGCTCTCTATGATATTCTAGTCTGCTCCAGGCCAGGACTGATGAGGTCAGTAAATAAAAATAGTGGGAAATATGTGGATATTGCAGATAAAAATTGATGTCTTCAAAGTATTTCTATCACTGACATGAAGGCCAATTAAAAGAAAAAAAATGTTCCAACTGCAAATATTCTGTTACACACTTTGAATAGAGGTGTTTCTATGCAGGAATGTTCACCTCCCAGTGGCATTAGATATTTCCCCATTGCATGTTAGGCAGATATCAGGTACAGTATATATCATATATCAAAATACTTGAGTGGGCGTTAGGTAACAGTAGATCCAGTGGAATATTGATATCATTCTGTTACATCCTATTTTTCAGACCACCAAGAATTAGATTAGTATTTTTTACAAAATTTTAAGTGATGATGATCACTGTAGATTTTGTTTTAATTTAATCATCTCACAATGCAGACACGAAAGGGGCATGTTTTACATTTGAGCTAGCTCAGTTTCAAAATGTGCTTTAATGTAAAATATTAGAAAGTCTCGGGGGCCTTAATAACAGACAGTCTTCCACTTCAATGTCCTTTACATATAGATTTTACTGATCCACATATTATCTCTGTATTACCAAATACTATGTCTTATTTTTCTTAATAAAGGAGTACAGTTTGATTACTGATATAGTTATATAACAAAAGTCGCTGAATTTTTTACCTATCACAACAATGAAAGTCTCAATTTAAGGAAGCTCAGCACAGTCCAGGAGCTGATATGAATTACAGTTTAGCAGAATGATATGATAGCATTATAGTATCTGATCACAATCCCCTTTAGCTATCCTTATCCTAGAATCAACACACACAGGTGTATATCACTGATAATCCTGTTAACTTATTTTAATGGTTTACTAAATGCGACGTTAAATCTATGATGATTTCTGTTTACTTTGAATTTTTAAACTCATACATATATCCCCTACCTGAATATTTACTCACCAGTAATCTGCAAGTGTTGAGGTCACTTAAAAGACAGGTCATAATTATATATGTCGTATCGACAAACCAAAGTGACCTGTTGCATTGACCTTTACATGGAATGATGTTTAATGAATAACTTGTATTTTTGGGTTTGGCCACCTGATTGTTGTTCAGAATATTTAATGCATTACTCACACCCAAGGTTGTTACAACTGTATCACCTGTATGAGCTTGTAATTCACTCTCTTTGAAAATTAAATCTACCCATATACTGCCTTTATGAACAGTCTCAATCACATGTAACTATTCTTGTTCGGATGTCAACATGGCACTCACTCTGTTCATTCTGCCAGATTTCTGATATCTGGTATGATTCAAATTTTTCATAGATTTGTTTTTCTTCCCATGACTTCCCCTGATGTATAAAATAAGACGTTTGAGGAATTTCAAATCATTAGCTAAATAAGTTTTGACACTTAAAACATAAATCATCTAATTTACAGAAATTACTTTATTCAAGGTGACAAAAATAAATCATTCTTTATTATTGCAAAATGATGGCTACCTTGACATCGAGATACTGTATTGTATAGAATATTTTAAGGAGATTGCTTTGTAGGTTAATCATGTAGCCAATTTTACCCTTATGTACAGGTGTGATGTAGAAAATTGGATATACATAATGCCTACAGAACTAAATGTATGTGCAGAAAATATGTATGTATATAATGTACTTTATGTAGATTTCTAAATTACTGCTAGCTCCATCTTTTACTAAATTGGTTTTAGGTGAAAAATTTATGAACCAGTACAACTTTAAATTAAATATGTGACTTTTTTCTTTAAAATAACTTTTCATGTTGTTCATTTTTTAACTTTGCAGTCTTATTTATCAATTTATAAATTTCAAAATCATAACACATGAAACTAAATATGTATTTTTTGTGATTGTAAAGAAATTATAATTCAGAATATGATTTGTACAATATATCAAATTACCTGCTTGATAAGATCTGATCATGGTGCTGTTTCAAATTAATTATATTGCTAGTAAAAAAATGATGTTTTACTTTCTGTATCACAACAGATATTGTAATATTTACACAATTGATGAAGGAAGACAATTTTTTAGTTTTGCCCTGTATGTGAGTCTAACTCATGATCTACGGCACCAAATGACCAAGCCAAGAAATTGCGAACTGCCTAGCTAGCCTCACACTACTAAGACAAATCCAAAATGAATGTTTGAAAGTTTTACTGATAGACAGCTGGAAAGTCTTGACATAATCATAGAGGCAAATTGTCTAAATACATGATAAGAACACCTAGATGACAATGTATATACATACGTAGATACTAATTTTACAAATAACAGATTTGAATGACCTATTGTTGTTGTACCTGAGTTTGATACAGATATTTTTGTATTTACACATTAATATCTATAATTTCCCATTGTTTACATCCTTCAGTAAACAATTTCATACCTTGTATGTTACACTGAAACAAAATCAAATTGAAATAATTGTTAAATGTTATAATAATTGATACAATAGGGAAGTTGTGGTGGGGATGAAATGAGGGATTGATGATTATATGGAAGGATGAAGTCCCTCAATATTCAAAACAGTGAGTTGGCTTTATGTAACATACCGATATATAGGTATATATATGTAAGTCTATGTACTTCCTTGTCCCTTTCAAAATCTTTCCATTTGAAGTTCTACAATTGTGTATGGTGTGTGAGAGGGGTGTGTGTAGCTGACACATTTTTTAACAAAGTCTTCCTAATTAGTAATGGATTGCAAATAATTGAAATTAGTTTAACTGCTAGGAGTGTACCTTGATTAAAATTCAGTTAATATGTATCGGTAATTAAGATTCCTTGGAGTTCATAATGAATATATATTACATCAAACCTCAAATAAAATCTAGAATATTAAAGTAATCATGTTATACTGATGACAACATTAACATCCTAATTAAACTTTATCTAATTACCATAAAGATTTAATTGAACCCATGTTTTATAGTTATCTCGTTATCTTAGAAACTATTCTGTTTCATTAACCATATAGCAGTAGTATGTAACATATAAATACAAGGTCATAGTATAGATGTCAAGACTATGTACTGGATCAGTGAACAGTGCTGTAGGCTTTTTGTTATTCCTTACATCTCTGTGATCTACTGCATTTAAAGCTTCTCTTTCTTCCTTGAAGAAAATGTCATTTTAAGTTACTAATTCATCACACTTGTAATAAAACCTCTGTATGTTTATTGTAGGATTTTAGAAGAAAGGAAGTTATATGATGGATGTGTACCGCTTGTAAAAAGGATGGGAATTTTATGTTCAGTGGTAAGTTACAACTCAGTTACAGATATGCAGAGTTACAGATATGCAGAATTAGGTATTTTATCAAATGAATAGATGCATTATATGTTATTTTTAGGTTTCCTCTATACAGCATGTGTTTGTATATAGCATGGCTAGGTATCTTGGCTGCTTCTGTAGCGTTATAACATAATTATATACCTTGTCATTTCCATTTTGATTCTAAGAAGGCAAAGTCCCAAGACACATAAAAATCCGGAAAAAGATGATAAGAAAAATTGATTCAAGAAAATCTAGTCATTGTCAAACAGTTCCTGCCAATTCCTAAACACCATAAAAATGGTATATTCAAAATTTATTTGAAAGATTTTTCAAAATCTGGTATTCTGTCATGCATCCTAAGATCTGATGTTTGGAAAAATAATGTTGACGAAAGCCTTTTCTGAGAAGTGAGCTAAATGGGGTACATTTGTGTATCCACAGACAACACAAAATCATAAAGAATCCTTTGTTTTCTATGTTACTAGGGTTTGTTGTTCATTCTCAATGAATTTTATATTTACTTACAACACTTCACTAAGTTTTGCTTGTTGCTTCATACTTCAGATACATTGACTTAAATGTAAAAGGAGTATAAAAAGGAGAGATATATTTGGTGATGTTTTACTGTTTATTTTTTTGAGTGGTCCAGAAGTAAGGTATCATTATACGTACCATCAACCAAGGTGGTCCTCTTCCTTTGTTATCTCTTTTTCATTGATTCTAAAGTAGGAAATGATGATGACTTACACAGATAATATGTGTAAATAGAAAATAAGTGTCACCTCAACATATTGACTGAAAGTACTAGAAATGATAAAGCTTGTTGAAAAATTACGTAGGTTTGTTCAACAGGGTACTGCTACATCAGTCTACTTTTTTCACAAATCACTATGAGTAAATAACAACTGAGCAGATTTTGACTAAATTTTGTCAGAAGCATCATTGGAGGAAGAGGAATGTATTTTGTATCCCCCTCCCCCCCCCCTAGGGTTGGAGTAGCAGGGCCCAAAAGGGGAAATTGAACAATTTCTTTAAAATCCTCCTCCTCTTATAAGAATGATTGGATTTTGACCAAACTCATTCTGAAGCATTATTGGAGGAACTGGAATTGAATTTTTTGTAAAAGCGATGGGTCTCTGTCCCTTTGGGCAATAGGGGCGAGGCTAAATAGGGGAAATAGAGCAAATTCTTTAAAATCTTACCTTGGAATAATTGGATTTTGACCAAATTCAGACTGAAGTATTGTTGGGGAAAGGGTATTTTGTATAAACACTGGGTCTCAGCCCCTGGGGGCAGGAGAGGTGGCTGGGACCAAACAGGAGAAATTGAGCAAATTCTTTATAGTCCTACTTCTTCTGTAAGAATAGATGGACATTGCCCAAATTTGGGTTGAAGCATGCTTGGGTAAACAGGAATCAATGTTGTAAAGACATCAGGTCTTGGCACCGTGGGGCAGGAGAGATGGGACTAAATAGAGGAAATAGAGTAAATTCTTTAAAATTCTACTCCTTCTATAGGGATGAATGGGTATTGCCCATATTTGGTCTGAAGCAGTCTTGGGTGAAGGGAAATCAATGTTGTATAGACATAAGGTCTTGGTACCTTGGGGAAGGAGGGGTGGAACCAAATAGGGGAAATAAAGTAAATTCTTTAAAATCCTACTCTTTTTGTAGGAATGAATGGATATTGCCCAAATTTGGTCTAAAGTATTTCTAGGTGAAGGGAACCATTTCTGTATAGATGGTTAGTACATCCCAGTAGGGATGAGGGGATGAGGGCCTATTTGGGGAAATTGAAACTCTTAAAATTCCTTCTTCAGTTTGTTCTGAAGCAATCTTTCTTATTAGTGAATGTGACTTCTGTTTGACTACAAAGCTAGGAGCTAAGAGGGAAATTATATCAGAAATTATTTTTCATGTTTGAAATTCTGTAATAAAAGGCTGAAGAGCTTAATTAGCCAGGCAAGAGATACAGGCCCCAAGGGCCTCTTGCTTTTTATAAAAAAAAATGTTTTCTATTCTTGATAGATATAACAATATGATCAAAGAATTTTGCATACTGCTATCTACAGTATATGTATGACACTTTCAAACTTGCACAATAGTAGTCCCTTTAAACAAATAAAAACCTGAGTATATATAAGGAACCTATACAAAGCATGTTTTGATGAAGGGATACCAAATTGGTTCAAATGAATAACCTTGGCCTACTGTCAAAGTCACAGGGGTCAAAGGTGTTAAGAACTGAAAACTTGTCTTTCAGTGTACTGAGCAAACAGGCAAGCAATTCAGTCCCATGGCACCACTGGTATTGATAGATAGTATTACGTAATGTACAAGAAAATTCAGACAAATATAGTTTTATTGTTCCCATAAACTGAGAAGAAATCAAATGCACTTGTTCATTCTGGACAGCACTTATCACCAAGCAGATAATTTACCCAATATTGCAAGCGTTTTATTCGCAGCAATTATTTAGTTTTTTATCAAGATCTTGTCAACCTCCCATTCCTTTGCAATATAAGACACGCAATGTATATTGCAATGTAAATATCTATTGCACTTAAGGATAGGACAGTACGTGACAGATCTATGAAAATTTAAGACTTCCCTTCATATCAAATTGTCCTAACTACATGGAAATCAGAAGATTTATGCATTCAGAGTTAACTGTGGTGCTATACTTACTTAAAATGTTTATATATATGTTCAAACAGGCTTTATCATTCATCTAGACTGTTATGAGAATTGGAATCCATTTCTCTCTGTTTCATTAGTTGGCATAGATTTTTATTATTGTTTAGGAATAATGATAAGGTTGTACATAACATATATATTTGATGAACAATGTTAAAGTAAATAGTTATTACACCATGAAAGGTATGTCATACTGTATTAGTCGACTAATTATTGATATTTTGAATGGATAACTTGATGTTTTTAGTACACCAAGCCTTCATGACTCAGTCAATAAAAATGCAGACATGACATTTGCAAAAGTAATTATTTGAGACAAATTGTACTTTTATTGCACCATGTACTATACTGGACCAAAATAATTGTACCAAACACCATATTAGGGAATAGAAAAGAGCAATGAAGGTTATATAATCATGTTAAACTATGTCCCTTTATCTTATTGACTTAACAATCATGTAGTCTAGACCTAAAGAGGGTAAGAAAATCTATATAAATACGACCCAGTTATCTTAAAGACCATTTGTTATAGCAAATGTCAAAATTCACAAACAAAGTACATACATTGTAAGACTGATGTCATTTCTACCCAGGATTGTAGCTTAGTATGAGCAAGTCTTCCGAGGTATGATATTTGCTCAGTATGAGTCAATTAATCCATCAAACTTGAAGTTTGAAATACAGATTAATTTGAAGTTAAGCATGCTAAGTACACAATATAAATCTCAGTACATCAATGCACGGTTAGAGAATCAATAGTGTTGCTTTTTATCAAGTGTCAGCCTATATACCCAATGTAGATTTGAGTCATAAAGTCTTACTTAGTGTCTGTGGTAGGTCAGGCGGTGCATTGGTCTTACTTAGTGTCTGTGGTAGGTCAGGCGGTGAATTGGTCTTACTTAGTGTCTGTGGTAGGTCAGGCAGTGAATTGGTCTTACTTAGTGTCTGTGGTAGGTCAGGCAGTGAATTGGTCTTACTTAGTGTCTGTGGTAGGTCAGGCGGTGAATTGGTCTTACTTAGTGTCTGTGGTAGGTCAGGCGGTGCATTGGTCTTACTTAGTGTCTGTGGTTGGTCAGGCGGTGCATTGGTCTTACTTAGTGTCTGTGGTAGGTCAGGCGGTGAATTGGTCTTACTTAGTGTCTGTGGTTGGTCAGGCGGTGAATTGGTCTTACTTAGTGTCTGTGGTAGGTCAGGCAGTGAATTGGTCTTACTTAGTGTCTGTGGTAGGTCAGGCGGTGAATTGGTCTTACTTAGTGTCTGTGGTTGGTCAGGCGGTGAATTGGTCTTACTTAGTGTCTGTGGTTGGTCAGGCGGTGCATTGGTCTTACTTAGTGTCTGTGGTAGGTCAGGCGGTGAATTGGTCTTACTTAGTGTCTGTGGTTGGTCAGGCGGTGAATTGGTCTTACTTAGTGTCTGTGGTAGGTCAGGCAGTGAATTGGTCTTACTTAGTGTCTGTGGTAGGTCAGGCGGTGCATTGGTCTTACTTAGTGTCTGTGGTAGGTCAGGCAGTGCATTGGTCTTACTTAGTGTCTGTGGTAGGTCAGGCAGTGAATTGGTCTTACTTAGTGTCTGTGGTAGGTCAGGCGGTGCATTGGTCTTACTTAGTGTCTGTGGTAGGTCAGGCGGTGAATTGGTCTTACTTAGTGTCTGTGGTAGGTCAGGCGGTGCATTGGTCTTACTTAGTGTCTGTGGTAGGTCAGGCGGTGCATTGGTCTTACTTAGTGTCTGTGGTAGGTCAGGCGGTGAATTGGTCTTACTTAGTGTCTGTGGTAGGTCAGGCGGTGCATTGGTCTTACTTAGTGTCTGTGGTTGGTCAGGCAGTGAATTGGTCTTACTTAGTGTCTGTGGTAGGTCAGGCGGTGAATTGGTCTTACTTAGTGTCTGTGGTAGGTCAGGCGGTGAATTGGTCTTACTTAGTGTCTGTGGTAGGTCAGGCAGTGAATTGGTCTTACTTAGTGTCTGTGGTAGGTCAGGCAGTGAATTGGTCTTACTTAGTGTCTGTGGTAGGTCAGGCGGTGAATTGGTCTTACTTAGTGTCTGTGGTAGGTCAGGCGGTGAATTGGTCTTACTTAGTGTCTGTGGTTGGTCAGGCGGTGCATTGGTATTACAATCACCTTTCATCTAGGTGTCCTGGATTTGATTCTCAGAATGATAATATATGGAGTCACTTGTCCAACCATTTAAGTCTCCCATGAGTACTCAGGTTCTCTCCCACAGTTAGACCCTTCACACACATCTGGTCCAACAGTAGTGATTAATGTACATTGGGAATACATAGTCTCACTATTGTTGTAAATAAATATTACATGTAAGAAATTTAGGTCTTGTTTAGTGTAATCATTTGAATTGGACTTGGTTTTTAGATATGATTTTAGTTGTTTCTATGTGCAAAGTTTGAGTTCTGCTCATTATGTGGTTTGAGTCTTGCTCAGTGTCAGGTTTTGAATTATATTGTTTTGCTCAGTTAATTGATAGATTTGTCAAGATAAATACATCATCATAAAATTTCTTAATATTGTGATTTAAGTTTGGTCCATCAATCTAAAATGAAATATTTAATATTGGTGAACACAATGGCAGGCTACAATTTTGTTTTCTTTGTCCCTAGGGAATATGTCTCCTTATGTTCCGTGTATGGATAATGGATGGACAGATGCCATTATTCCAGCACCAGGACAATCCAGCCTCATTTTCACCACAACTCTTAACAAGGTATGTTTAAGTAGAACACCTGAACATTCCTGAGAGGTTCAAATTGTCTGCTAACTTACAATCACTAGAAAAGGCATATTGTTTTGGTTTTTTTTTTCAATTTCTTTTATAACATTTTTGTATCAAAAATATGATCATTTGAATGTATGAATGGTAAAATTAAATCTGTGTTTACAGGTCTTTTTCATTCCTGGAGTGAAATTTTCAGAGGATGTGATTCAATATCTAAATGAAGTAAAGTGCAAGATCATCTAAAACAGTTTCTCATGTCAGCTCGACTTTTCAAACAAAATATAATAAGTCAGTATCTAATATTGGTTTGTATAAACAGTCTGATGCATCACTAATTAGAATGAAAATGATAACATAAGACCATTTGTTGAGAATTCCTTTCTTTACATATAATTTCATCCATACAAAATCATATTTCCTTCTGTCACCATTTTATAGTCATTGTGTAACTCCATGTAATTAGAGATGTGTAGATAATCAACAGGTTCACATGAGTTTAACAGTCTGTTCAGTGTCACGGTGGTAGAGCACATGATTCAAAGAAGAGTGTGACATTAATTGACCACAAATTACATGAAGCATAAAAAGAAATATGTTGTAATCACATAAGAAATAAATAAGATGGTAGGATAATGGCTTTTTGTCAGACATTCACATTTGTTAGAATTACATGGTCTGGCTCCAACAAAAGTTTTTATTAGATAATTTTGCCTGTATGCTATTCACTGATGACAGAATGATAAAAGACAACAGTAAAATTTGTATTGATGTGTCACCCACATAATGTTCTTTCAGCTTCAAGTCTGCATTATCTTAACAGCTTTTGTGCAGGTTTTATTGCCTGCTTTTCATTGATAAACAACTGTTAAAATTCACTGTTTCTCACTTTGTAGTAGGAACCATTGTCACAGGGAAAAGAGAACTTTCATCTTCTCTCCTATTTTTCTGCATTTTTTGTATGACTGATGTCAACCTGTAGAGTAGATAAGTTCAGTTTTCGTGTTCAGTAAACTGTACATTCCTCTAGAAACAGACACAAAATTTTGAAAGCAAAAGTGAAAAAACAACATTTATTTTGGCCGCCTATAGCTGAAAAGTACTGATCTGTATAAAGTGCTTAAAATCAGGTGTGTTCTTACACAAACAACTGATTGTCTCTATAGATACAGTTGCACTTGATACCTTTATAACTTCAGTGTACTGGTATACACCTGACCAATTAGTGAGTTTATGCTATGGTGCAAGATTCATTGTTCAAGGTCACAGAGGTCAATCTAATGTGTTAAAGCCTTTAAACAACTCCTAACACTATTTAATATATTCAAATGAATGATCATGAACCACTTCAAAGGTCACAATTAAAGGTGAAATGTGTTTAAATTTCAAAACAATTTTTCCTCAATAATCAAGAGATTTCAGAAAGTGATAAGGGAAAACAGTTCACAAACTTGCAGGAAGGTCTGTCACTTTTACTGAATGACCTTAACCTATATTTTACTGGGGTCAAATGATCAAACATTTTCTAAACACCAAAAAAAGACATAGAAATAGGATACATTCCTTCTTTGGAAGTCCAATAACTTTGCAGACCTAAAGATGTTCGTAATTCTCAATAGTAGAATGATTTTACAAGCAACATTGAGTAATAGGTGAATGCTGCAAGCCTGCTGGGCCTTTTGTAAGTTAATACAAGCAGATCCAAGTAGCTATTTCAGATAATAAATTCAGATAAATATAGAGAGGTACATTTGTTTGCTTGCTTTAAGAAAATCAGTTTATTTTTTACCTCTCTGTATGATTGTTGTTAAAAGATGGCAACTTTCAGCATACACATTTTTGATGGAATCTACTAATTCAACATTTTTATCATTTGTTTATCATATTTATGTAAATTATCACTGCTTTATGGAAAGAAACATACATCTGTTTGTTTTTTAGGTAATCAAAGTATCATTTCATTCTTAACTAGATGTGATTAGATAATCTATTGAACACTTTGTATGTTTCAGAAGTAAGAACAAATAAAAGATATGTCTCGGTGTAACAAAATTATCTTAGCTGTGTTTTATGTTTGTTCACACGCTTTTACTTTCACGATGAAATGAAACATCACTAATTCAATGCTGAATATGCTTTGTTAGTATTTCAACAATCATTTATTTATTCATTTATTCAGGACCACAAAAAGGCTATGGCAAAAGGAGATTAGTGTAAATGTATAACAGTGTACATTTTATCAGATCAAAATGACAAATTAAGGTTAAAGGTCACAAAAGAAAATCCCCTGTGGCTGAATCACATGATATGCACTGGTGTGGGCCCATAAACAAGATTTATACAAGATTAGGTATTGTCACTGTCTGGGTAATGCTATGGAAACACTTGAAGAGGAATGTCATTTAGATATTTTAAAAACCAAGTCATAAGGATTATAATGTTTACTAAACTCTCCTCACTTTCACTGACTATCTGATAATGACTTAGGACAAATATTTGACAAGATTTAACCAGTTGATCTCTAATGAGGCCACTTAAACTGCAATTTTCTAAATCAAAGATTAGACTAAGGCATCTAAGTTGACATAAAAAGAACAAAAAAGTCTTGTGTGTGGCTCTTTTCTCACAGTTTTTTTCTTATTTCAGTTAATTTGTTTTTTACATAAGCATACACGTACATACATGGATTAACAATGAAATTTCATCACTGATAACTGTACTGCAGTTCCATTCAACTCTTTGTGGATTCATGTCAGTTATGTATCCATTAAACAAAGTACACATGTATTGATCAATGAGTTTATAACTGTGAAGACACTGGTTGAATTGTCTAAGGGATTAACCAACAGCTATGGCCCTACCTGAGCTGTGAGACTGGAATATTTCAAAATAGTCATGCCTGAAAAAAATGGAGAATAGAAGCAATTATTTAACAAATTTTGAAATCTCTCTTTGGGAATTGGGGATCTGCAGTTGCACGTTTTAATTGATTAAAGTCCAAGATGTAGTTTCAAGGATAGTAATGGAATAAAATATATTTGTGAAATAAAATGTAGGAGATCCTGCTGATCCTAAAGGTAAACAAATTAGTGAAAGTAATTGACCTAACCTTTTAAGTGGAGAATATGATACAATATTAAAATTTGAATTCAGCCTGAGGATCAAGCTGGTTTCATTTAATTTCAAGTTATATACAAAGCTTTCAAGCTCAGTGAGACCCCAGTTGTACAAAATTGTGTTTTGCAGACCAGTTGATTCATAGTCACTGCATATTTCAAAATTCATTAAAAAAATGATCATATGCTAGATCAATTGTGCTCCTCAGTAGTCAAATTGGTATAATGTTTTGGGTATAGATTATTTTGCTTTGAATTTCTTTTCAGTGACAGCAAATCAGGTTTATCTACTAACCAATGGTTAATCTCTATATTTAAGCTTTGGCCAATCAGGGTCTGGTTGTTAGATTTCAAGCCCAGAGTTCTGAGGTTCCTGGTTCAAATCCTTGAGTCTGACAAGGTTGCATTTTCCTTTTGAGGCTGTCTCAATATTTGGTGTAGTTACTGATGTCATCTAAGCGGAATCAATGATTATATTTCTAAGGCACTTTCAAACTTGATCTCTGCAGACTACTGTAGCTGATTTTTTTTCAATCTCTTACCAAGTAAGTGTTACATTTCACCAAGGAGCTTTTCCAGAGAAGTCAAATTGATTTTCAATTATACTCAATTGACAACATTTTAAGATATAAAAGCTGAAGAAGCCACTTAATTGTAGGAAATTTCTCTTTAACCTACAAACTGCAAGGTACTGTACCAATCCAGTATACACGATAGATGAAATAGGCAAAACAAAAGCGTGCTTGCCATAGGATGTCTTCTTTTATTCCTTCATCATCCTTGAAGCAGGGTTTATCATGCATATATTCATATTTCACCATATTGCTGTTCTACATTATTGACTTTTTATATATAAATTACATGGTAATATCAATTATCCAATAATTCTGAGATGAAATAATTATAGTTCTACAGTTTCTTGGAGTTCAGAAGGCTTTCTGTTGAGAACATAGAGACCTCAGTAGATGACATTTCTGGCACTGTTTCAGTTTCAATATCTCCTGTAACATCACAAAGCTGATGTCTCAGTTGGTGAGGGTACACGTCCAGTCTCAGTTGGTGAGGGTACACGTCCAGTCTCAGTTGGTGAGGGTACACGTCCAGTCTCTGTTGGTCAGGGTACACGTCCAGTCTCTGTTGGTCAGGGTACAGGTCCAGTCTCTGTTGGTCAGGGTAACCGTCCAGTCTCTGTTTGTCAGGGTAACCGTAAAAGTCTCTGTTGGTCAGGGTACACGTCCAGTCTCTGTTGGTCAGGGTACACGTCCAGTCTCAGTTGGTCAGGGTACACGTCCAGTCTCAGTTGGTCAGGGTACACGTCCAGTCTCTGTTGGTCAGGGTAACCGTCCAGTCTCTGTTGGTCAGGGTACACGTCCAATCTCAGTTGTTCAGGGTACATGTCCAGTCTCTGTTGGTGAGGGTACATGTCCAGTCTCAGTTCGTCAGCGTACACGTCCAGTCTCTGTTGGTCAGGGTACACGTCCAGTCTCAGTTGGTCAGGGTACACGTCCAGTCTCTGTTGGTCAGGGTACACGTCCAGTCTTAGTTGGTCAGGGTACACGTCCAGTCTCAGTTCTGAGCTTCCAGGTTGTCTACTGTCTCTGTGTTACCCACAGATGAGACAGATCACCAAGCTTCTTATATTATACTTGTCCTTGTATATGTCTCAGTCTTATGCTGGATAGGATTCAGCAAAGATCACAGCGTCTGTAAATTTAAAGGCTATGAATTCAAACTGTGTCCTTGTGTATGTCCCAGTTATAGGTTGGAATGGATTCAGTCAGCTGTAAATTTTAAGATTGTTAGCTGTGTCCCTGTGTTTGGATAATTTAGCTGTCTTGTGTCCTGTGGATGTACAGCAGCCTTAGATTGGACGAA